GTAGCTCAGCTGTCAGTCACAGTCACTGGTCCAGACGGTGCAGCCCAGGCCTGAGCTCTAATCAGACCCCGTGGCAGCCATCTGGAAAGGAGTCGCTGCTAAATAATGCACCTCCACTCCGCTCCCTGCAGAGCGCGCTGCTGCGTCTGCACGTGCACATCAGAGCTTTAATGTCTATATTTACATGGCTGCGTCAGTCGACGGCGTTCACTGTGTGTGTAAACCTGGAGCGCTGATTAATTATGGATATATTTCTGCTCCGTTCGACGGAGCGGCTTGATTAGCTCGGCAGCGATGATGATACGTCACAGACGCGTTCGCGCACTTGTTTATTTCTCTTTGCTTTCAGGTTGAAAAATTAAGTAATGTTAATTAGAGGCTTTGCAATTAAGTAACTAATCACATCAATATTTATATATATGTTTGGTTTTTTTATCCCTAGTTCTCTGTACATTTTTCATCTGTCGACTACATTCAAACATTATTACAACTCACTAAGCTAACGTTAGCGCTGGTGTCTGTACCAGGACTGTTGTAGCTAACGTTAGCGCTGGTGTCTGTACCAGGACTGTTGTAGCTAACGTTAGCTCTGGTGTCTGTACCAGGACTGTTGAAGCTAATGTTAGCTCTGGTGACTGTTGAAGCTAATGATAGCTCTGGTGACTGTTGAAGCTAATGTTAGCTCTGGTGACTGTTGTAGCTAACGTTAGCTCGGGTGTCTGTACCAGGACTGTTGTAGCTAACGTTGTTAACATTATTGTTAGTTACACAATTAGTTACATTGTCTTTATCGTATTCATGAAAAGTAATTTAGTTAAACCCCGATGTTTACATTTTTGTTCTCATCCTCCGTCACTGTTCCCCCAAACATCCTTCATGACTGACAAATGACCTTGAGTTGCACTACCGCCTCCTACTGGGCTGGAGTTCTTATTGAGCAGAAAAGAGTGTGATTTAATGCACACTTTTGTCTGTAATTACTATCAGTGTGTTTCAGTTGCAGTTCATTCAGTTGTAGTGACCCCCCCCCCCCGCCCTCCACCCCCCCCAGGATGGAATGTTACCCTGGTGGGAGTCTTAACCTGCTCCCCTGAGCTCTCCCACTCCTCGTTGTGTCTCGCTCCGCTGCTCCTCCTTCATTATCTCCGGGAGCCGTGAATGAGTTTCGCTGCTGCTGCTGCACATTCCTGCAGGAACCAGTGACCACAGCAGCTACAGTCCAACACCAGCAGCGGCGGCCATGACAGTCACACACACACACACACTCACACACACTCACTGAGGAGAAAGCCTTTGTCGTCGGCCGCTCT